ACCCTGTTTGATCGGTGCAGGATTCCTCTCGTCTGCCACGGACATGCGTGATCTCGTCAGGGGTGTCAACCAAGGTGAATCCCGCATCCGCGCACCCTTGTAAAAATTCTACGGCGACGTCGCTTGGAGGCGTCTCCAGGAAGGACTCCCACTGTGGGCGATGCGCGTTGGAATCTTCGCACAGAAGGAGCGGTGCCGAGGCCGGAAGGCAGTTTAGTAACCGCCTAAGGGATTGCGATATTTGCAGTGGCACTGGCATGTAGGCACCCGCTACGCTGAGGCCACGGTTCTGCTCCAGGGCGACTTGGACCACCACCATTTCGAGGCCGGGATCATGTTGAGTGATGGTGAGGGGTGTATGCCTGGAGCGGAGAGTTTTCCGCACCAGCACCGCCTTTCTTGCCGATACGCGCTTGTGCATGGAGCACGTAATCCCCAGTGTGCATGCTGGCGATTTGCTTCGACGGCTTCCGGATCTCCTGAATGGCTATCAATGTCTGCTCATTGCGTTATTAACGTTGCAATTTTGTTCGGCGTGAGAGAAGAGCCGTTCATCTGGAGTGCTGCTATGGGGCCTGGGTGCTGCTCAATGCCTCCGCCTAGCAGTAGCTTTTGCCGTTTCGTGTCGCGTACGGCACGCAAAATGTATTTGTAGCGCTGGCGAGCACCGATGGAATTCGGCAACAGGCAACACGCTCGTCTGTCACACTGTCCGCGTCTCACGTGCTGCGATCCCCACAGCTGCCTGCACAGTTTGTGCTCGCGTGCCTCCTGGTGGCTGGAATATGGATTGGCCCTTCACGTCGTGTGCGCCTGACTCGGCCATCCGCGACCGTTTGCCTGGCATGGCCCCTGGCCCCGGCGGCGTATTGAGTGTGTTTCTACGCCATCTTGTACCCGCTGCCCGCTGCTCGCGCTGAACGATGATCAACACCTCCCTCGCCGACGGCATTCTGCGAAGTTGCTGGGAAATGGGGACACCACTCCCATCCGCAGACACGGGAAGGACACACGCCGCACAGAGAAAGTTGTCGGCCACTCCCGCTGCTCTCTGTCCTGCCAGTGGTGAGCGAAGGACTGGTCCACCGCCGCCTGTCAGCACTGCTGGCACACCACCGGCGTCAGCCTGGATCCACGCCACGACGCATGGCCTCGGAGTTGGTGACGCCTGTGAGTGTGACGAAGCGGCACGAGGGCTGAGCGGGTGCATCGCTGTGGAGTGCGAGCGTCGCAGGGGCATCATCCCGCGCTGCACCGTCGCCGTTGCCGCTCTCTCGCCGTCCCGCTCGGCATCTCGACTGCGTTCGACACCGTTGGCGATGGGCGAGTGTTGGCTGTGCTCTGCGGGCTCCCGCGCCTGGGCCGTCGCGCCCAACGCTGGTAGCGCAATCACCTGCGAGACGGCTGCGTTGGGGTGAGTGCTTGCGAGCAATATTCCCGACAGCAGCTTCCCTCAGCCGTGGCAGCCCAATGCAGCGTCGTGCGGCCCCAGCTCCTCCACCGCCACGTGGATGGACTGCTGCGCCGCCTGTACAGCATTCACTTTGCGTCGGCGTTCATTCACGCTGACGACCGCGCGCTTGTTGCGTTGTGTGCGGACCTCCGTGCCTGTGGTGCGGCAATGCCAGCTGCCGTGTCCGTTGTGGCCACATAGGCTGCCGAGCACAGCCTGAGGATCAGCGCCGATAGGAGCGGTGCCGCTCTGTTCTGCATCGCCTCACACCGACAGTCTGACGAGGACACGGCCGACCATCGTCTGGGCGGTGGGAAGCCACGCGTCAATCCCACCCTGTGCGTCTGCTCGGCAATGCGATTGATCGACACCTCAATTTTGTTTCGCACGTCACCGCCGCTGCAGGGCAGACCGTGCCACGCCGTCGTCAGCCGCGGCTGGGCGCAGGAGCTGGTGCGTCCCAGCACACCATGCGATCCTTTCTGGTTGGGTGCGTCCACAGTGCGTTGCACCACGGCAGCGAGGCAACCGCACCGTGTCCGGCCCCCATTCACCTCCACAGCCTGGAAGTGCGGCGCGGCGACAGCCGCACAGCATCACTCGTCCCACGCGCTTCAGCGAAGGATACCTCTGTCCACCTGGCCGCCAGTCCAGCACCGCTGCGGAGGATCGTTGGGCTCCGCGCACCCACACGGCACGAACGCCTCACACGTCTCAGTTATATTGAGGACGTGCGTGGCGCAGTATGCTCGGAAACCACACCTTCGTCAATACCTGGGAAGGCAGCGAGGACCATTCTGCTGCCGGGAGATGCCGTCCTCAAGGAACTGCGACGCGTCCGCAGCCGCATGAGGATCTCCCCGGACCACATCCGCGCCCCTCTTGTTGATCACCGAGTTTTCGCCCGGGACACTGTGGGCTGCAGCGGGGTGGGCGTCTTCCGGCCACGGCACGCCAAGGACGCCCTGGACGGTGTCAGACGATCGGCCCTTGAAGCGGCCTGCACCTCTGGGACCGTATGACGCAGGTCGCTAGATGGCTTGTTGTCTCTCGCTGAGCATGCATCTGGATCCGCTGCACTGCCATTTGACTTCCCGGACAGCGGGCTGCCTGTGGGGCCTCACAGCACAGCTGCTGGCAGCCTTGCATGCACCTGCCGAGCGAAGTGTCCTGCCACTGAGCATGGCCTCGGACAGTTTTCAGTTCCCCGCCTGGCAGCAGCATCCCAATCGCCCACAAGAGTTACTGTCGCCACAGACTCCCTCTCGGCGATGGAGTCACTCCGCCTTGGCCCGCTGGCGGTGCACGACGACGTCAGCGAGGAGATTTGTACCGTGCCGCTTTCACTGGCGGATTGAGGTCACACAGCTGGCTCCACATTTTCCCCATCACACTGCGGAATCCCACGCAACGTGACAGCGGACGCCGATGCCGTCATGGCACGATCCCTCTCGCAGGACTGCGTCAGTGCCTGGCACGTGGACTTCCTTACCGCCGTCAAGAGGTTATACTGGAAGGATGCCCAGGAGGAAAAGGAAGCCGCGCACACCGCGTGACAGGCGCCTGTCGGTGTGGCGAGGACTCTATTCCTGGTGTTGACCCGGACATTGTGCCCCGAGTGGCGGCACAGCGCACAGGCGCGATGCGACTCCTGCCCACTCTTCGACAGGCCTGCACGCGCCCTGCGGATCACAAGGAACCCTCTGTGTCGGTGGTGCCGTCCCTCCCTGACTGCGGTGACCGGCCCGCCTCTGCCTCCGCCGGAACCTCTTCCCGACATGAGCACCGCAACTCCTTGCCTGCCAGCGAGCGGCGGATTGACGTCCTCCTGCCCAACCTGCGGCAGAGTGCACTTGTCCGTCCACAGTATGAGGGCACATGCCGGACGTGCTCAGTCTGGCGTTATAATAGTTTGCGAGGGCCTCCCATGCGGATGCCACAATGGCGCCACCGTCTTCTTAACAGGTGCCTTGCGCGCAGGTCGCCACCGAAGTTGCCAAGCATGCTAGCAGGCAAGACACGCAGGAAGCACAAACGCGGGTACTCGAGATAGACCAGGCTCTTCCGCCACCGCCTCATCACAGACGCCACGGGCTGCTGATCCCCCGACGGACCACGGGAGACTCTGCCTCATCCACTGCGGGAATGCCTTCGTCGTTGGGAACTGGGACTGCGACTGTTTGTGACTGCCCCAGCCCGCACGACGGTCCGTTTGCGACGGAATACTTGCCACCTTTTGTACGGACGGCCCTTGCGCTACTCACTCGTTATTGTAGCAGCATACAACAAAAACAGGATAACAAGCTGCTTTGTGATGAATATTGGCTGCACTTCCCGTGGACCAACAATCCGCATGGTGTGCGGGGATCTCCTTTTTTATTGTTACTTTGCTTTTGTGTTGCTGTGGGCGCTGCACCTCCTCTTGTGTGTGTGCGCACCCTCCGTGAGGGGTGCAGACACGACGGACCGCTCTCGCCGTATGTGCATGCGGTGGAGCCTTGTGTGCCGCTCCTGTTTGCTTCTCCCTCTTCCATCTGTGTGTTGGTGTTGCGGCAGGGCTGTGTGTGTGTGTGTGCCTGCTGCCGTGGATTGGAGTGTGTGTCGTGCGTGGTGTGCGGCGTACGGTGCATGCCTGGCTGCTGCCCTCTCCTCATGTGGTGTGCCCTCTGTGTGTGTGTCTGCCGCACCTCTCGTCTCCCCTGTTGCTCTCCATGTCCCTCACTGCGCAGATTAGCTCCACACCACTGAACGACCTCACTCACGATGATGATGACGTGCCGTCTGCTGTGCGCCCTGTTGGTGCTTGCCCTGTGCTGCTGCCCGTCCGTGTGCGCGTCAGAGACTCAGTTGGAGGATACTGGAGCTCATGGTGAAGGAAGAAGCGACATACCGCCGCCTTCTCCACCACAGCCACCAACTGCCAAGCCGGTTGATGCTATTGTAAGCGCCCCCATTCTACACCCCCGTGCAACAGGATTACAACCGGGCCCCGGTCATTCAGATCTTCCAACAGCGGGGCCCGTTGCAAAGCCGGGAAATGATGGCGTAGAGGGAACAGGATCTGCCAGTACCGCAGGTCAGGGACCAAAAGTAAATACCGAGCCAAATAAATCACTGACAGAGGATACGAAAGAGCAACAAAGTCGCACTGAACCATCAACAGAACAAAGAAATAAGGTGTCTGAAACTTCTGCTCAGACAACCACTACTACCACCACAACAAAACCACCAACCACGACCACCACCACCACTGCGCCAGAGGCACCAAGTACTACGACTACAGAGGCGCCAACTGTGTCGACCACCCGCGCACCGTCACGTCCTCGCGAAATCGACGGCAGCCTCAGCAGCTCTGCGTGGGTGTGTGCCCCGCTGCTGCTCGCCGCATCCGCGCTGGCGTACACCACTGTGGGCTGAAGAGGTGTGTGCGGGCTGTGCGTGCCAGCACCCAACCGCGGGGTTTGTGTGCGTGTGTTGTGGTCCACTGTATAAAGTAAGAGAAAATAATGATTGTGTTTTGCTTCACTTGCTTCTGCTGCCGTGCTGTGTGCTCCGCGTTGTGCCCCGCATCCGCCACGTTGAACGCATCGCGGACACACTCATATGCATGCGCACTGGAGCTCTGGTTTGTTTTTCTCTTTTTTAATTTCTGTTTTTTAATTATTGTTTTTTATTGCTTTTTAAACTTCTGGTTTGCGGGGCGGTGTGCGAGCTCTGCAATCGTACTGATTCCATCTGTCTCGTGGTGTGTGCGCTGCTGCTGCTGCGGTGCTGCCATTTGTTGCTGTGCGGTGGCTGTGCGTGGTGTAGCGGCGGTGTCTATCTTTTTGCTTCCCTCTCTGTTGACGGGGAGTTACTTTTGCTGAAGGCTACACGTAAGAGACAGGAGTGATGGCGATGAGGATGACTGGCCGTGTGCTCTGCGTCCTGTTGGCTCCTGCAGTGATGCGCAGCTGCTCGTGCGTGTGAGTGACGGGGTGCGTGTGCGGCCCGCGGGTGATGGCGCGGTGGCTGCTGGGCACGCGGAAGCTGCGATGGCTGCGGAAGGTGGACCCGTGGCCGGTGGCTCTGGACGAAAGGGGAATGTGAACTCTGAGGACAATAGCAGTCAGGAAGACGAGGAGGGTGGAGGAAACACCGCAGGTGACGGCCACAATCCCACCTCGGCAGAACCACTCACTGCTCCGACGAGGCAGGACCAATCCAGCAGCGACCCACTGCGAAGTGGCACTTGCAATCCGTCCGGCACTGGCAGCGCGTCTGCTGCTCGGATGCGTGCAAGTGGACCGGAGTCTTTGGGCGGAGGGCACGCTGCAGGCACAGCGTCCCCACGCTCCGACGCATCTCAGCAGGCAGCAGGTGGAGTGCATGCTGGTGGCGGGAGGACCTCCCAGGGCAGTCAGGCTTCGGAACAAACCGTCACGGGACAGTCACAGGTGCCAGGGACGGCGAAGGAAGCACCGCAAGGCGACGAAGAAGGAGAACCCGGAGCGCAACACGAAGCCGACCAAACCACAAAAATGACTGTGGTAACCTCTTGCGCAAAAACAGCGGTGGAAGAGGAGAGCCGCCAGCGGGATCGCAAGATGCACCACGTCTCTATAGTGGCGGGAATGCTCATTATTATTATTTTTCCCTGCTCTTACCGACATGTCTAGCCGCACGATGTCACCAGGGTGCCGAGGAGGTGGTCGAGCAGCGACATGAGTTTCCTGCTATGAGGCAGCTGCCATTGGGAGAACCTTTTGGTGCAAAGGTCCTTCTTACTGCCCAGCCGTTGGCGCACAGCCAGAGCGTCTGTACATTCCGGAAGCAGATGGTGCAGTGTTTTCCGCGGGCTAATTGTTGCGCTTGTGGAGGCTGGCTGATCCTGCGGTAGCAGTGATTGCCTCCTGGCACTGCTGCTGCGGTGTCGAGTAGCGTCTGGGTTTTGTGCGCGGCGATTTCTGTGCTGTGCGGTGCTTTTTTTGTGTGGGGAAGACCGTGTCGCAGCAATCGCGGTGGAGGTCGGGAAGCGGTGGAGGTCGTTCCGGATGAAGGCACCGACAGCGACCGATGTGGTTCGTGTGTCCCACCAGTGTGGCGTCACAGTGCGGGTATTTCTTCTTCCGACGCCGTGTGGAGGGCCGTCTCTCCACAGGCGGTGCATCGGCCTCCCTTGTCGTCGGGGGAACAGATTCCATCCCGGTGCAGTGGGATCGTCGTTGGGCGCATATAAGCAGAGTGTTCCGGTGAGATGTTGCAGAAACGGCGTTGGCTCGTGCAGTCTCCCACAGTCCAGTACAGTCGACCCCAGAGTTCGGATTCCCCGCACCCTGCTCATGCAGTGTGTATCCGTTCCTGTCGGTCGAGAGCTTCCTGAGTGATCAGGTGCTTGCCGCCTGGATCTGATGGCCTGGCGCCGCCAAGCAGGTAGTGGTGGGTGTCCTGATGCATGGTACTACGCCACTTTTTGGTGAGCTGGGTGTTAATGCATGGCAGCAGGTCCGTGTGCCATATGGGTGCTATTCCATGTTCCGTGTATTGCCCGGTTGCCGTGGTCTTCGTCTAATGATCTGCAGGCTCGTTAACATGTACTCCGCGATGTTCGTAGCAAAACTGCAGCTGCACGGACCAGCCAGTACGCGTCAGTGACAAGAGACGCTGCCAGAGCCGATCCTCCGTCCAGTCGGTGTGGCTGCGCGGGCCCTTGGTGACGGCGGCTAGAAGAGACTGACTGTCTGTCACCACAAGCAGGGTTTTATGTCTGTGCTGGATACGAGGGGCAATCAGCCTTTTCATGGCCGGGAGCAGTGCACGGGACTCCGTCGTGCGGCTGCATGGGCGTGTGCCGCAGTTGGTACTGACCTTTTCTATTATCTTCGATGAATGCAGGGATGAGAGCAGTATGCCAATCCCGGCTGACTTGGGGACGTCAACACCGCCATCCGTTGCGAGTATCCACGGTCCCCAGCGATGATGTTGCGCCTTGTCGCGGTGCTGAGGCTTTGGTTGCGTATAGGAACTCCGCAGCAGGGCGTTGCTGCGAGCACGACGGAGACCAAGGTGACTTCACCCCTCGAGAAGGCTTCACGCCATGCCCGGTGTGGGGAGGTGAGGCGGTCTGCCTGCAGACTGTCGGACAGAACTGCACGACCGTTTCGCAGCGGTCACTCCGTTGATATCACCCGTGGCGGTGACGTCCACAAGAACCATGGCACCGAGGAGGATGGCTTCATCAATATTAGGCAGCTTAACATTGCAGGCCTCTCGTTCGTGAAAAAGATTGCATTTGCTGCGCGATTGGAGCAGCGTCCACCTGACATCGTTCTTCCGCAGGAAATAAGTAACCGTGGTGACGTTGCGACGAAATTATCTGGCCATAATGACTACCTTCAGGCCCGCACTGGGCGCGGTGGTGGTGTTGCCGTTCTGGTGCGCCCCTCTTCACCGTGCGAGCGCCTGTCGCTCCCTGGCACTGACCTCCTGGAGACCATTGCTGCCCGTGTATTTCCGCCAGGCTGTCCCAACATTTGCGTGGCGAATCTCTACAACCCTCCCACAACAATTGGTCAATAATCCGCATTTATCAATATCGTTTGTCGCTTGGGCCCGAAGCGATTATCGCGGGTGGCCTGAATTTACATCGTGAACTCTGGGACAGTCACATATACCATCAACGACTGGAGGCGATAATTTCGCCGCTGTTCTAATCGATATGGATTTTGGGCTGGCAAATGACCCGGCGCAGGCAACACGAATCACACATCGTAATGCCTCGTCCCCTGACGTGACTGCGTATTGCGCCCTACGCATCTCCCACTGGACATTCGCCCCTTACATAAACTCGGACCACTGCTGAATATCTTACTTGGTAGAGATGGATGATGGCACTCCACGACTAGCAAACACGCTGCCTTGACGGAAGGAAGCCACCTTTGTTCTGCGTAAAGCGGGTTGGCCTGCTTTTACATCGTTGTGTGAAACCCTCCTTGCCACCGCGCCCACATGGTCGGATCTTCGCGGAGGCATCTTACGAGCAGCTGAGCGCCATATCCCGCGCGGCGGCCGTGGAAGCCCCAAAAAAGACATGGACACACGAAATGGAACAAGCCGAGTCCGCCGCCGAAGCAGCACACGAAGCACACACATTGCCTCACCCGGAGACAGCCTACTTTGAGCCGAATGTACCCGAAAAAAGGGAGGAACGAAACCAAGCCTTACGCCGTTGCTCCGCTGTGCTTCTGGAAGCCCGCGCGAAAGGACTTGGAGCCTCACCCAGCCCGAGCTGGCGATATCTTCACGGCATGGCGGCGCCGCATCCTCATCCTCTGGAATCGGTTGTGCTCCGCACTGATCTTGGCCGCGTATGCGCCCTGCCTCGGCAACAGGCAAATCTGCTCGTCCGTCATTTTGTGCGGTTTCACGTGCCATACCGCCTTATACTGCTGCTGCTGCTCGCTGCACCCCTTTGGTTCCTGGTGACTGGGAAATGGATCGGCCTTTCCCGCCGTATGAACTTGACGTGGCCATCCGTGACTCTTTGCTTGGCTCATCCCCTGACCCCGACAACATGTTGAATGAATTCCTGCACCGTCTCGTGCCCGTCGCGCGTGGCACACTTAGAACGATGATCCACAACTCCTTCGCAAATGGCGGCCTGCCTGGCTCCTGGAAAATGGGAGACGCTATTCCTATCCCCAAGCCTGGGAAGGATCCATGCCGCCCAGAGAGTCACAGACCTATCACGCCACTCTCTGTTTTACCGAAGTTAACCGAAGGAGTGACTCACCGCCGTCTGTCAGCGTTATTGCCGCACCACCCACGTCAATTTCGGATTTGCACCTTCGCGTTCTACGTCGGACGTGGTGGCACTTGTTATCGATAAATTACTCGTGGATTGAATGAGTTTGGCATTGTGGAGTATGAGCGCCCTGGAGACGACGCCCCCACACGACACGCTCGCCATCGGCCGCTCGTAGTCTCGATTGATTTTCCGACTGCGTTCGACACCACTGACCATGGGAAGTTATTCCGCATGCTTGACAGACTTCCGCGCCTTGGCCCTCGAACCAAACGCTGGCTGCACAACTACCTGCGGGGCCGCTATGTTAGGGTATGCACTCGCGAACAGCACTCCCGGAAACAACTCGCCTCAGCTGGAGTACCGCAAGGCGGCGTCCCGGGACCCCAACTCTTCCTCTACTGTGTGGATGGTCTGCTGCGCCGCCTGGACAGCATCTATTCTGCCGCCGCTTTCATGTACGCTGACGAACACACACTTGTTGCCTCAGGTGCGGACATCCATGCCTGTGCTGCGGCAATGCGACCGCTCTTGTCTCTTGTGGCCACATGGGCTGCCGAGTACAGCCTAAAAATCAACGTCGCTAGGAGCGAAGCTGCTCTATTCTACATCTCTTCACACACACACGGTCTGA